TAAGACACTTAAATATCTTAGGAAGTATTGACAATATGTACTAACCTCTAGCTTAGTGTAAATGAAGATGAAAAGAATTATGGCATTTCTTCCATTTCAATAATTAGATGTTTAGTATGTTGAAATTTCATATCGGTTAATTATTCTCAAGGGTAATAACTTGGGCCTATGTCGTTAACTCATGCTTAATGTTCGAGAGAGTTTGTGTCCATCTTTTTAATTACAAAATTTCCTTCATGTTATCCAGAATTTGAACGCATGACCTCTGTCTTATGAAATTCAGCTTAAACCCTTGTTTGGCTCCATTAGAAATACATTTTTGAACAATAATATGTTGAAGAATGTGTGGTTAAAAAATAAGAAAAAGTTTTTAATTTACGTGTAATATTATTTTATTCAAAAAAATAGAGTTAGAAATAAGAAAGAAAAATGAATTTTTTGAATAATGGAGCCCAAGCAAGGGATAAATCTCTCATAAGACAAATGTCATGAATTTGAATCCTGGACAATGCGAAAGAAATCAGTGTGTAGTAAAAGTGTAGTTATGAATTAAGTCAATTAAAGACTAGAACATCGACCCAAATCACCACAGCAATGTAGTTACCTTATGATCAACAAAGAAAACAAAAGTGTGGGATCTCTTTAAAAGAGAATCATTTGATAATGTTATCTTTTCCTATTGATATTTGTGTAAGCCATCGAAGAAGAACTATTAGTAGATGGTATTCTTACATGATAAAAAGTTAGTGCTTTGACAAAGGTAAAATTGATAAAACCTCGTAAATTGTTGTTTTCTCCGTTTAATGTTCCGAAAATATATTACTGTATCAGGACACAGATCGATACATGCATGCAGGTTCAGATGCTACATGCAAACCATAGTTTACTTTTATAAATTAATTATTTTCTTACAAATTAATATTTTCCAGCTGCTACAGCTGATTTCTTGATCTACCCAATTGGTCAAGGAAGTTTTTCCGATGGTATGTCTCTAAGAATTTCTAGTCCTTTCAACTTCATGATTATATTTCATGCTAGTTTTTTGAGGTGATAAAGAAAAAGTTGCAGATTAATCATCCTTTCTGTCAATCCACAGAATCGTACATGAAATTTTTAAGACAGTGCTAATGTGTTTTTCGTTACTCTTAAAATCCCTTTACTGCTTTATTCTATTCCAGATGCTATATGTTTCTGCATAATAGGTTAAGAGAAGAGATATGCTTGACATTTCGAGAGAGAGAAAGTGAGGTGACGTGCATGGTGTTTTTTTTATCCTGGGACGTGCATGTATATATATATATATATGTAGGCAACTTCATAGAAGTTTCTTAAGGGAATAAAGCCGCCTCAACACAACAAGGAATCAGTTGATGTAGATAGATATTGTGTAGGGATTAAAATTTCAAAAAAACATTTTTTTTAAACCAAGAAACCCGACAAGAATAATCTTTATATCTTAAAACAACCAAAATCCCCCAAGTATTAAAATGATACGAGTTTAAATGACACATTCACTCGAGCAGCTAGATAGATCTGAACAAGGTAAGGAAAGAAATAAAGCGAAAGAAAAATCGAGCTTATAGGGGTGACAAATAAAAATTTCATACTGAATTGATATATTGAAAATAATAAAAAAAAATATATTCCACTAATGAAGGCTGGTAAAAAAATTTTAAAAAAATGTGGTTTTACGAATTTGATGCAATATAGGTTGATTCTAGGTCAAAGACTTCTCTACCTAAGATCAAGTCAATATGTGAAGGATTAGTGTGTGTCCAAACTGAATAATTATTTGTTAATCAAATCTTGCACCTTGAATGGTTTTATTAAAAAATAATTATATTTTTCAGAACTAAAAAAAGGTGATTTGTGTCATTTTGCTTCGATAAATATTGTGGGAAAATAAAGAAATTAAAGGCATGTTCGATAATGATTAAGAGAATTGATTTTTTAATCATTAAAGAGAGAAAAGAGGATTTCACCTGTAAGTGAATAAGTCAAAAATGACAGTTGAAATAGTAAAATAAGGGTCAAAAATTAATTTTTTTGGATGAAAAATTTCTACTAAACGAGTCATAAATGATGTAAGGTAGTAGCAAGGGAGAGTGCATAGAAGTGAAGAAAATGAAATGTCACTTTCCACATGCAATATAGAAAAGAAGAATTAATGAGTTGTCTTTATTCAATTCTTTCGCTTTATGGAAGATTTTTTATGCTTTTAAAAAGGAGATGAAGAGCTATGGAGGAATTATCAGATTTAGGGTTTTGTTAGTGCATTAGGGAATATCACATGGCCTAATCCACCTTTTTTGGATTCTTCAATAGAGGATACGATGTTTTTCAAAATATAAGTTATTTTGACCACATCAATCACAAAATATAAGTTATTTTTTTCAAAAATAATAATAATTTCAAGGTATATCGTTCCCTTCATATCCACCACGAAAACATGTTTACCCACTGAAAGCCCCTGTTTGGCCCCCATTCTCTTTCTCATTTTTTTCTCTATTTTATTTTCAATCATACAATTTTTCATAAAATAATATTATACGTAAATCAAAAACTTTTCATTCTTTTTCAACCACACATTTTTCAAAAAATATTATTTCAATCATTAAAATTTGAAAAGAATGGGGGCCAAACGAGAGCTAAGACTAGTAATTTTTATCTATATTTCTTAGAATGTGTTTTATTATTGTTCTCTGAGAAAGTGTAAAAAATAAAGGGCCATTAGCTGCTTTATCACAAATGCTACATAAAAGACGTATAGTCGCTGAACTATGAAAGTTACAGTATGATTACATAGTGAAACATTAGGTTCCTCTTCTCCTCTGTAATAAGTGATTATTTTCCATAAAAATAGATTATCTAGGCAATTAATAGTTTGTTCTAAGGTAAATTTACTATTTACTACTTCCATATCTAAAGTTTTTAAATTGATTATTTAATTAGAAATAATATTATTCATCACCAATGGTATTAGAGCACCAATTTAGCTTACATTTTATTAGTTCATTAAATGAGTCACGTGACTTTATATTTAAATGAATCTATCATTTAATATCATGTAATTGCCATCTAGACTGGTATTATATGCTTGTTTGATGCGCACAGCTCGACCAGATAGTACGGTAGAATGGTTTAAAATTTAAAGATATCTTCGTAATGTTGTAGAATCAGATAGCCCAATGCATATGAACAACAAAATCCCATGCATACACACACAAAACGAAGAGGAACTTATATACAACATTGAAGAAATCTTCAAAGTAATTCCGTCATTGTACCCTATAAATACATACAAGACTCTGGATACATAAACATGAATCATGCTCCTCTGTAAAATTCTAGCATCTCGGGAAAGGGTCGGATTTATCAGGCGCGTGCTTCTGTCATCTGCCTCGCAACAGATCCACAACCACCTGTAACTTTTAGAGAAGCGAAGAGGCAGGACAACCTAGCCATCATGGGCCTAGTCTTCGGCATTCTGGGCACAATTGCAAGCTCCTTACCAGAATCATCGTTACACGGGTTAGGATACCCTTCCAGATCAGCTTTAGTAATAATTACAGCATCTCCCGAGGGGCATATTAAACGAGACAATATCCGCTGCTTCTTATATTCTTGGACTGCCTGGAACTCAGATGAAGTCATGATCAAAAACATCGAAAACTACTCTTTATCCAGTAAACAAACAGGTTGTAATTTAGATAGATTCTAAATGGGTAGACATTCTATGCCCACCTTCCATTGGGAAGGAGCTAATAGGATCCTTGGTCTTCTAGAGCGAACATATTCAAACGCAGCAATGGGGCTCATATTCTTATATTCAACCTGTATATGATCTCAGATTACGAGTTGCGCTAAGCCAAAAATAGATGGAAGTGAAAATGCTGCATAAAGAAAAAGTCCTTTTCCGAAAGAGGAACTCACCAGATAGCAAAGCACAATGGTTGTGCTCCGTCCCCTCCCAGCTTTGCAGTGGACATATGTTGTTCGACCACTACAAGAATTCTCTGTACCCATAAAGAAAAGCAAATAGTTAAAGATGAAGTACCAGAACATCATAGTTTACAAATATAGCTCAAGACAACATGGACAAAGATCACATACCGTGGATAAAATCTACCGCTCGGTTGATATCCGCAAATGTAGGAGCAAAGAGATAATCCCTTGTCGGAATTACTAGATGGTCTATCTCATGAGCCTGGGAATAATAAAGAAAGAACGACGTGAAGGTAAAGTGAATAAAGAAACTAAATTGATCCTTTGTATTTGTTTTGATTGTGAAATATGTAATGCTTTTTCCAATGTACAAAAATTCAATTGTTCATGGAAACAAATGTAAGTACTCAAAGAGGACCATTCCTTGCCTATATAAGTGCTATCCATAACTCACAAATGGAACAAGGACGGCAAAATGCCCCTGCCCCATCCTTGACCTGGGGCACCAACAATATGGGTGAATCCCTCCCCAATTCAAGGCAAGGCATGGCATGGCTGGGAAGGGCATTTTTCCATCGCTAGAACAGAAAAGTATTTAATTATGTATCATTTGTACTTTTAAATTGTTTTGCACAACATCCACAGGATATGTCGCGGTAGAATGTATCATTTCTCCAAAGCACCACATTCACAACTACAACAAGAACCATCAGTACATAATCATCATTATTTATTATCCACTCAATTAACTTTTGAGATAAAGATAAGTAGAATGAAATTACAGAGCAATACTCACCCTTTCAACACACTAAAGGTAAGCAAAAATGATAGAGCTATATGGCTATAGATGCCTGGACATAGAAAATAAGAATAGCATGATTAAAACATACAGTGGTGTGCCAAAAGTAAATTAACTTGACAAAGCTTAATCAGTTGCGAATAGGTCAAAAATATGCCATCTAACAGATTGAGCTTAAAAGGCAAATTAACACACTCACAAACCAGTCTTTTCAGATATACGCTGCCCGATCATTCCTAAGAATCTACCAAGAGGCATGCATTTAGATCATAAGTTGATGCCAGAAACCACAGTATAAAGACGTGAATAAAAATTTAAAAATAATAATAATAATTCTGATACCAAGCTTCAGCTGAAACTAAATTAATCAGTCATATACGAAAAATACACCACGTTTTGTGCACCACATTCACACATCATTTTTGCATACATTCAATAAACATCAATAGCATCAAAACTTATTATTATAAGAACCATAACAAAAGAACATGGATTTACAGAGAGCAGATACCAACTATAGCGAAGACCATCCGTGGTGATAAATACTGACAAAATTTTGGGAGGAGAAAAATTCAGTTTTAACCCAGAAAATAATCGTAGTTGATACTTGATGATATCCAACACCAGGAAGAGAAAACAACGTCATATATCTAATAACCACTTACGTGGTACAAAGATGTCGATACCAAAGTTTCATAGGGCTCATTAAGAGTAATCACACCTCCAACTCCAAGCTGCTTCAGCCGAGGCACATCCTTTGGAAATGGAACAGCTCCCAACAAAAGAAACTGCATAAACATAATGAATTCAACATATTAAGAATCCATTCTTCATTAAAACTTACTGTAGAAATGAGAAGCAATCAAACCCTTTTCCTCACATCTATAGCATAGTCCAGCAAACAAGGTTATAACCAGATTAAGAAGCATATCCAAATATCCACTATAAACTCAACTTGTACTTACTTGCAAGATCCAAAAATAATTCCACAGTATATTAATCCTTTTCAAATTATAGATCAAAAGTGGTAGCTTTGTTAAGACGATATGTTAAATTTACTTGACATCCACAGTGGGTGCCACTGAGTTTGACAATGAGGGTGTGTCATATTAATACTAAAAAAAATTGTTTTTTCTTTGTTTTTTTTCAAAACATTTCTTCCACAAGCAGTTGTTTGAGTTCAACATATTCAAAGGACAATCTAATTTATGTTAACCTCACCCCTTTCACCTTGAAAGAAATGTGTTTACAAGTTTTCCTTTCTGTGCTTAAAAAAAATAAAATGCATTTACGTTTTTCCACCATCCACTAAATCGCAACTTAGATGAGTGAAATTTGATTCCAGGAAAGTATATCACATGCTAATAGGCTTACTATTCTGCCTTCCATACTATATTGATGTTCTTGCAAACAACTGACACTCACAGAAAACATAAAAAATTAAAAATTCCCTATTAATAAGTGTAGTATAAAAAAGAGTTAATTGTTCCAATGGTCACTAAACTTATGTATATGTCTTCAATTGCTCACTAAAGTTTAAGATGTTGAGTTTTGACCACTAAACTTTGAAAAGCGTTGGTTGTTACTAACTGGTATAACATCTGCTTGAAACCTCTTAACGAAATTGGTGACGTGATTAACGGAATGCACATGGGGCATCTCGTCACATCATTAAAACATTGAGATGGTCGAATTTTGATACCTATACTTTGGAAAACGTTTTCAATTGCTCACTAAACTTTTAAAAATGTCTTTCATTGCTCACTGAACTCTAAGGTAGTCACTTTGAAAAATGTCTTCTGTTGCTTACAATAATTTGGATTCAATTAAAATTCGTTGTTAAATTTTGGATTTAATTTAATTCTAACGACAAATCTAACCCTGTTCGAAAGAAATTAAACTTAAATTTTTATCAAACTCAAAGTCAATAATTAATTTTAACCACATATTTCATAGGATCTATGATGAAACTTTAATCTTGATTGTATATTGATAAATAAGTTACAATACAGCAATAATTTTTTACAGAAGAATCATATGTTCTATATATACAAAGATTGCACAAAACTATTATAGAAAGGCAATATTGTTTTAGGGAAGCTAGCTAGAATTGTGGTCATGAGATTGGTGACTGATGCAGGGCTTAATTTTTGTGATTGACTGGTTGTTATACCTTTCAATCTCGCCTAATTATCTTTATTATGATCTATTGCTTGATTTGTGGCATGATATTTGATACGCCCCCACAAGATAAGGTTGCCATCCGCAAGTCCAATCGTGGTTCTTAGTTGGTCCGTTTGTTGCTTTGACAATGGATTTGTGAGAAGATCTGCAAGCTGATCTTAGGTATTTACATGATGAACTTGTAGCATATCTTTTAGAACTATATCTCTAACAAAATGCAAATCTATTTGAATATGCTTCATCCAGGAATGTTGGACAAGGTTAACGCTGAGTTGGGTTGTACCCAAGTTGCCATAAAGCAATTTTGGTGGGGAAGAAATGTTTAAGCTAAGCTCCTAAAACAGCGACAATAATCAAATGGTTTCTGATGTTGCAGTTGCAAGAGCTCTATACTTCGCTTCAGTAGATGATCTTGCAATGGCTCGTTGTTTTTTGAGCTCCAAGAGGTTAGATTTTGACCGAGAAAGCATATGCAGGCAGATGTAGAACTTCCATCATCATAGTTCTCGGCCCAATCAACATCGGCATAGGTGGTTATGGTTGAGCTTGAGCCTTTACGTATGTGAATGCCATGATAAATTGTTTATTTCAAGTATCTTAGGAGTCTCTTTGTAGCTAAACAATGCATGGCAGTGGGTTTATGCATAAATTGGGAAAGTTTGTTCACTGCAAAGGATATGTCCGGCCGTGTAAGAGAGAGGTACTGAAGTGCACCTATGACACTCCTAAACCCAGTGCTGTCCATAGCTGAAGTGTCATCAATGAGTGTAAGAGCCATTGTTGTGGATAGTGGAGTGGACACTTCTTTTGCATCGAGGATGTTTGCCTTTGCGAGAATGTTATGAATGTATTTATGCTGGGACTGGAATAAACCCGTTGTAGTAGGAATAACTTCCATGCCTCGAAAAAAATGAAGTTGCCCCACGTCTTTCAAAGAAAAAGAAGCTCCAAGTTTAGCAATTATTGAGGAGACAAAAACTTTGTCACTTCCAGTAATAACCAAATCATCAACATAGACCAGCAGGAAGCATAAAACAAAGGCTGATTTGTAAATGAACAATGAGATGTCTACTTTTGAATTGACAAAACCAAATTCCAAAATCTTTTCTTTTAGAGTCAAGTACCATTCCCTTGGAGCTTGTTTGAGACCGTAGATGGTCTTTTGTAACCTACAAACGTGGTTAGGTTTTGCTAAATCTTTGAAGCCCGGTGGTTGAAGCATATACACTGTTTCATGCAATTTTCCATGTAAGAAAGCAATGTTGACATCTAGCTGTCTCAAGGTCCAACCTTGCATCACAGCAATGGTCAGAACTGTTCTAATGGTGGCTGGTTTTACAATCGAACTGAAAGTTTCCTTGTAATCCAACCCAGATCGTTGATTAAAACATTTGGCAACCAAGCTAGCTTTAAAACGATCAACGGACCTATCAAATTTTCTTTTCACCCTGAATACCCATTTGCAACCTACTGGTTTGCAGTGAGGTGGGGGGGGGGGGAACTAATTCCCATGTGTTGGTGTCTCATTAGAGCTGTGAGCTCATCAGACATGGCACCAGTACATCTCGCGGCTTCAATAAACCTCTAGGAAACAGAAGTCCTAATGGGCCGAAAGACATCAATCGACCCAACTACGGAGGGAAGCCCACAGGTTAGCGCCGTCATCAGCCAAAGTGTCAATGGTGTGACCAATTGGGCCATATTGCCTGACAGTGTCCGAAAGTCCATTTTTTGGAGCCCACTGCCAGCTCTGTTTGAACCACCCATCAAAAGGACAACAAATGGTTAATTAATTCTGCTGCATCTCATAATATTACGGGTGATTTGGTGAATTTATCCATTCACACGAAATATGATGGCACAGATGAAGTTGTAATCGGTGATCGTTCAGGATTGCGTGTCTTACATATTGGTTCTTTGGTATTTCATTCCCCAACATGCACCTTCAAATTAAATGATACCCTTTGTGTTCCAAGCATTCGTAAAAATTTAGTTTCTGTCCATCATTTTTCTACCTAAAACCATGTTTTTCTTGAATTTCACCCATCTTACTGTCTTGGCAAGGATCAGATCACAGGGGCGTACTTCTCAAAGGTGCATGTGAAAATGGTGTGTACACACTTTTGGAGTCATTGGTGGACTCATCATCAAAAAGGTTGCAAATGTGCATGAGAGGATGTCGATTGATGGGTGGCACAAGCTACTTGGACACCCATCTTCAAAAATTGTCAATTATCTTGTTAATGCTTTTTCTCTTCCAGTAAAAAAAGAACGTCAAGTGTCAAATCTTTGTACTTCTTGCTCTATCAATAAAGCGCATCAACAACCTTTCCATTCAACTATTCTTCAAAGTCATGCTCCTCTTGATCTCATTTACACCCATGTTTGGGCTCCTTCGCATATTGTTCGTCTCGATGGTTCACACTACTACTTAATTTTGGTTGATCATTTTACCAAATATATATGGTTTTATCCTATGACAACCAAATCAAATATACGTAGCACAGTTCCTCAATTTAAGCATCTTGTCGAAAATCGTTTTGAAACAAAAATAAAAAGTGCTTATTCCAACCACGATGGTGAGTTTGTGACTCTTAAAATTACTTTTCTATTCATGGAATTAGTCACCATACCACCGCTCCTCACACTCCCCAACAAAATGGGGTTGCTGAGCGCTGTCATCACTATCTTGTGAAATGGGACTTACTCTTTTAAAAGATGCCTCTCCCCCACTCCTTTTAGCCTCACACATTTCAAACCGTTGTTTACCTCATTAATCGACAACCAACTCCTCTTTTACAGAATAAATCTCCTTTGAAAAATTGTTCAATCGACCGCCAAATTATCTTAAATTGAGCAAATTTCGTTACTTATGTTTTCTCCTAACCCGGAATCATAAACTCCAACCCAAATCAAGTCCTTGTATCTTTTTGGCAGCCTTATCTTGTGAGGGCGTATCAAAGATTATACCACAAATCAAGCAACAGATCATAACAAAGATAATTAGGCGAGATTCAAGGGTGTAACAACCAGTCAATCACAAAAATCAAGCCCTACATTAGTCATCAATCTCACGGCCACAATTCTAGCTAGCTTCCCTAGAACAATAATGCCTTCCTAGAATAATTTTGCAATCTTAGTATATATAGAGCATATAATTCTTCTGTATAAAATCATTGCTTGTTGTATTGTAATTCATTTTATTAATATACAGTCAAGATTAAAGTTCCATCATGGTATCAGAGCCTATGAAGCTCCAACGAGCAATTCGACCCTATCAAGACTCAATAAATGAGCATACAGATTTCAAAATTGATCTGCTCAAACGAGCTATCATCTTGAGAAGGCATGTTAAGAGATAAAATCTCACATCGAATAAAAATGGTATTATAAACCAACTTATAAGACTTTGAGCTACTCCTCTTAATAAGGTTGATCTTTTAAAATGGAACCCCAAGTCATAACAACCTACAACTTTTCAACCATACATTTTATCAACTTTTATCAAAATTTATTAAAAATATTATTTTAATCCTCACCAAACAAGGGCTTATTGTGTGTTTTGTTGTAGACTTCAAATATTAAAATTTAGTTTTAATTTAATTTTAATAAAAAATTATTTCTTTGCAAAATTCAAATATCATGATAGATAAGACTTGCAAAACTGTGCAAAGAAAGTGACTATTAATTGCAATGAAACACATAATAAATTCGTTATCAAAATTAAATTAAATCTAAAATTTAATATTTGAATTTTACAATGAAACACACAACAGTTAGAATTAAATTAAATTCAAATTTCAATTAAATCCAAAATTATTGTGAGGAATAAAAGACGTTTTTCAAAGTTTAGTAGCTAAAATTCGACCATCTCAAAGTGTAGTGGCCAAAATTCAACCACCTCAAAGTTCGATAGGCAACAGAAGACGTTTTTCAAAGTTTATGGAGCAATTGGAGACATTTTTCAAAGTTTAGTGACTAAAATTCGACCATCTAAAAATTTAGTAAGCAATAAAAGACGTTTGCTAAATTTAGGGAGCAATCGAAGACATTTTCCAAAATTTAGTAACCAAAATTCGATCATCTCAAATTAAACAGCATGATGAGACACCAGGTGTGCATTACGTCAACCACATCATCAATTCCACTTCAGGTTTTAAACAAATTCCATTAAAGGTTTTAAACAGATACTATGAGTTACGTTCAAACGTATTTTAAAGTTTAGTGGTCAAAACTCGACCACTAAAACTTCAGTAATTGAAGACGTGGACAAAAGTTCAATGACTATTGGAACAATTAACTCTATAAAAAAGACTCGAACACTTTTCTCCTCGTAGGATTACTGAACTTTATTCAACTGCTCAACATTTTGCCCAGCATGCAACAAAATAACAAAACGAATAAAAAAGAAAATCTCAAAAAATGAAATAACAAATTAACAGAGAAGCCCTGATGAATATAGTAAATTATCAAACATAACAAAGTACTAGCATCCCTATACCTGATCGATCTGATCCCACCATCTGAACTCAGCTTGGATCTTATTGCGAAAGACGTTATACAAAAGGGTCGGGTAAAACAAGATCCGTGCCCCTGCTCCGACTAGAGCTCTTTTGGCATCCACCCGAACTGTGATCAACCTTCTTTCTTGATCATCATCACTGTTATTACTCCTATTGGTATCAACACTACTATCGATCGGTTCATCCAGTTGTTCAATCTTCATCGCAATCAATATTAATAATCCCAAAAAACACAAAATCCAACTGAACTGTTTTGATTAAGTCAAACCAACTAACATTTTGGGGAAAATGAAATGAAAAACCTAGTTGATACAAACTATGTCCCAAGCCCTGAAATTTCCATGGGATATTGTCTAAACTGAATCGATCTTTGTCATAATTGGTAAGATAATTAATTATATTTGGGCGATTAGAAAAATTAAAGTGAAATGGATAATTGGGTGCAAAAAAGTTATGAAATTCGAGGGAACTTGCGATCATCGAGAGTGGATTGTATCATAGTGGCAATATTTTGGGGAGAAAATTGAGGATTTTCGGAGTGAAATAATGAACAGAAACGCAAGATTGATGAAATGGGAAGGCCAACGGAATAAAAAGTCAAATACTGATCTTTTCTTTTTTGATATTTTTTTTCCCCTATATTGTGTGTGAGATTTATGTTGAGTGTATTTGGCTAAGCTTTAAATTTTTATTATAAGTAAATATTAAATAATAAATATTTAGCTCTTATATTGATCAAATCTTTAAAGGAGAATCTACAAAAATGTCTAATTTCATACTTGTCGATTGAAAAGTGTCTATTTTGATAATTCTTGCAAAAATAAGCAAATTTGGTACCAAATTATCTATTATACCCTTAGCCACCATTTGATTGGTAATTTATTTCCATGGAAAATGAAATTTGGATGGCATTTTTCAACTTTGGTGTGTTTGATTGGGATTTATTTTCTATGGAATAGGAATTCTTAGATTTCTTGGGAATTGCATTTTTCTTGTTTTTTTTATTTTTTGGCAATAAAGATAAATTCTAAGAATTATTGTAAAAAATATTTCTCTTTAATTGACAATTTTTATTTAAAACAAAGTTAAACGAACACCAAAAAATAGATGATTTTCTTATATATATATATTGGTAAAGAAAATAAATTTCATCACAAATACCAGTAAATTCAATCCCTTTAATTGATAATTTTCATGTAAAATAATATCAAACAAACATCAAAAAATACTTATTTCAACATTTTTCACGTGAAAAATTATACCAATCAAACACAATAATTTACAATTTTTAGAAAAACAATTTTTAGGTAATTCAATTCCCTGAAATTCGTTTTCTTTTCACCCAAATTCCATCTTTACAATCAAATGGACCCTTAGTGAAAAATAAAGCAATTTTTTTTAAAATTTGTCGCGGATATCAAAAAGAACAAGTAGCTTCCATGAGAAGCTCCATTAATGTTAGCTAATTATCTAAGGGTCCGTTTGATTGAAAAAATGGAATTGAATTGAATTGAAAACAAATTTCAGGAAATTGAATTGCCTAAAAATTGTTTTCCTAATAATTGTAAATTATTGTGTTTGATTATGATAATTTTTCATATGAAAAATGTTGAAATAAAAGTGTTTTTTTTATTTTCGTTGGTTTTGTTTTACATGAAAATTATTAATTAAAGGGATAAATTTTATTGATATTGGAATGAAATTTGTTCCATTGTCAACACACAAAAAAACAAAAATTTCAAGAAAATCATCTTTCTTTTGGTGTTCGTTTGGTTTTGTTTTACATGAAAATTGTCATTTAAAGAGAAATAATTTTTTACAATAATTCTTATAATTTGTTTCCATTGCCAAAAAAAAAAAAAAAAAAAAAAAGTGCTACGGTAATGGTGAGAATTGGAATTATAGGAAAAGATGGAAATTAACTTAAGTGGCATAAAATGTGGAATTCGAATTCTAGGAAAAATTTTGTCAATCAAACAACAAAAAATTGGAAAGATGGAATTTGATTTCCATTTTCCATGGAATTGGGGTGCAATCAAATATAGCCTAAGGGATTCATTTGTTCCATTATTTATTAAGTCGTTTTTAATTCCTTCTCCAAAAAAAAATAATAAAAAAAATATAAAAAGATACTATTCAAAACTACATGTTTTTTTAGATTTTAAGGCCACCAATCAAGGCTAGGTATTGACCAATGATTTTCGAAAAAATGAAGAAGGTGGAGTTGAAAAGTCATTAATACTAAAAAAATAATTATATACTTCCAATTTATAAGAAAATTATATAATTTCGTTTCGAGAAATTTAATTTCGTCCAAATTTAAGAGTTGATTAAGTTATCCACAATTCTCAGTAGAATGTAATTTTTCTTTGAAATCTGGTTTTTGTTAATAAGAGTGTCTCGATGGGACTCTATTTTTAAATAGCATATTTAACAATTTAAAGAGTAAAAAAATTTTAAGTACTCTACACTAGTCCATGCGACAATTTGTACATTTTGTTTAAGTTGATTAAATACACATTTTATCTACACATTTGGTCCTTGTTGATAGAAATTAAAATCAAGATTTTAATTCAATTCAAAGTCAACAATTAGTTTTAATCACACATTTTATGACATGCATAACTTTTGAATAACACATTTCATCAATTTCTATTAAAATATATATAATATATTAGAAAATTTATTTTAATACCTACTAAATAGGGACTTGATTTACAATTATTATTCTCTTATTATTCACAATTATATAGGACACTAAATTATAAGCACTTAAAAACAATCCAAGACATCCTCAAGATTGGAAATGGTAATGTAAATTAAAATCAAATTAAACTATAATGATTCTTTTTAGACAAATAAAATTATAATGACGCAATTAAAATTTTGATAAAATTATAGGGATCACAAATTGAATTTACCCGAAAAGAGAAACAACCCACCCTGTCTTTGCCTCCATGGCACCCCACGCCATCTATGCTTGTGGTCGTCTCGTCTCCCCATGTGTCAATCTTTGATATTCGTGTGCGAAGTGACAGATGGTTAACGTAGTCAAATACTCGTTTAGTCAAATGGATATTCAAGAATATTCGAACTTGAATTAGATAAAATCTAGCATTATTTAGAGCTGATTGGGAGTGAATTTAAAAATTAATTTTTTGACCATTAGGAAAAAAGTGGGGTTTATCTGTGAGAGAAAAAGTCAAATATGACGACTGAAATAGTGAAATAACAGTCAAAAAATCAATTTTTTGAGTGAAAAAATGGGGCCCAAACAGGCCCTTAGAAAGTCAAAGAATGGGAAAAAATTTTGATGCAATCAAAAAGGATAAATTAATACGATTGTGTGTGTTTGTATGTATATATATATATATATATACCAACTTTCACGGGGTGCCTTTCTTCTTGGCACAGAAAGGGACACCGTGCGGCAGTAGTCTGCTCCGCTAGACTACCTTCCGCCTTTTCTCGGTCGCGTCGGGACGAAAGAAAATTTGATTGCAATTTTGTAGAAAGCTTACAATTGAAAATTTGAATACATTGAAAGTAAATTGAACATTGATTGCTGAAAACTGAACATTACAATTGATGAAAGCAGAAAATTACAAATGCTGGTGCAGGGGGCGGACACCAGTGAGCTTGAAAGATTTTTGAATGACTAATACCCCCTATAATAGCATTCTGAACAAAAACCCAAGTGACGGGAGTAGACGTTTAAAAGACGAGGAATCATACTAATCTTTTACCAATATCAGAGCTATTTTACAATTAAAATAACTATTACAATGAAACGAAAATTACAACTCAAACTTGAAGTAATATTTACAATGTGCGGCCGAAGTTGGGCAAACTGCGGCTGCGATAGTGTCAAGGGGCTAAGTAAAGCTGCGGTCCTTGACATATATATACACACATGATATGATGAGATATGATCAAGTTAAAAATTTTCTTCAATAAGAAAATTTTTTTTACTCTCTTTTTGACAACTCATTGATAGATAAACCATTATATAATTTCATGATGCACAAGTAGCATTATTAAAATTAACAATAACAAAAAAAATCATCAAGTATCTGTTGATTCTTCATAAAAATAAGAAATAAGTCAAAATCAAGACTTGTTGATTCACGTACGAATGTCTAGAATTAATTTTTGATCAATAAATCATTAAATTGTTGATCCTATAGAATAAGGACTTGAATCGAAAGAATTGAAAATCGCCCAACTTACGGGAGATTGGATGCGAAAAAGTTACAAAATTCAAGGGAACTTACGATCATCGAGAGTGGACTGTATCATAGTGCAAGTATTTTGGGGGGGAAAACTGAGGATTTTGGGAGTGGGATTATGAAAAGAAATGTAAGATTGATGAATGGACAAGGCCAAGGGAATCGAAAGTCAAATACTGCCTTTCCCTTCCATTTTTTATTTTTCCTATGTTTTGCGTAATTAGGTGTAGGTATGGGCTTTGTCGATTTTTTACCCAATCCAAACTCAATCCAACATAATCAGTTTAATCTAAAATCAAATGAACCCAATTCATTCATGTTTTTAACCCAACCTAGCCCAACCCAATCAAGTTATGGTCGGGTTGGATTGGTCGGTTTAAACATTAAAAATCATAAAAATATGCTTGATAATAAAAACTCGTCAACCACAACGTTTCAACCATAAACAAAAACTTGTAAGCATGCATAAAGGAAAATGAATATATTATACAAATTTTCATCTCACTTGAAGGAAAAAAATAAGCCTGAAACCTACATTTGCAAAACATAAATGAATAATCAACTTAAAATTTAAAGTTAAGAGTGCCAAAATGAATAAAAGTCGGCGATTAGCGTCAAACCTAAATGCAAATAGAGTTGGCGAGGATCGACGGACTCGAACAAGAGAGAATGAGAAAGGGAAACATTTAGCTTTAGGGATAAAGAGAAAGACGAAGTATGAGAGAAATGATAAAACTTTGTAGACTAGGGCTGTAAGGTTTCAACTTTTTAATTTTTATATTTGTTTTAAATTTTTTTTCAATTTTTAAAATAGCGCGTTGGGTTAGGCGGGTGTTATTGATTTTGATGGATCAACCCATAACCCAACCCAACCCAATCCATTTTCTTCTAAAAAAACCCAACCGCAACAGAATTTTTAGAAAAGCCAACCCAAATAGGTCGGTTTCTGCCCACCCCCAGTTATGTGTGTGTTTTGTGTTGATTGTGTTTGGCTAAACTTTAAAATTTTACTTATAAGTAAACAATAAATATTTAGCTCTTTTATTGATCAATCTTTAAATTGGATAAGTTGCTTTTTTGCAACAAAATTGGTTAATTTAGTACAATTAACTCTGTTACTTTAAAATTAAATTATATCAACTTGTTTTCAAAATAAAAAGTACATAATTTTATAGTGATAAACTTAGCCAAACATGGTTAATCTTCAAAAGAATAATTTCCTCAGTTATCTCAATTATACTCGTTAAAGTTAGGAGGACTTCTTTTTGAAAAATTACTGCTAAGGTCTTCAATGTTTATAAAATAAAGCAAGTACATCTCCACAAACAATTTTAAGATCACTTTTTATCCAAATAAATAAATAAAAGATAAGAGAGAAGAAAAAAGA